TGCTGAGCCTGTTTTATTCCCTGTAGTTGGGAAAATATTGAAGCTATAGTAGGTAGTTTTCAGGAAGATTAATATACAACAACAAAATAACTATCTTTTTTTATTTTATCAGTCATAGTATTTGCTGATCTCTTAATAGGTACTTTATGTATGACTAATTTAAGTTTCAGACCAACTCTTGGTGGATGAAAATATTGCTGTATTTTCATTGAGAAGATGAGCAGGTCTGTTTGCTACATCACTGCTTTCATCTTACACCAGGCTGCACCTGAAAATCATAAAAGGGGAATGAGGCACCAGTAGCCAAGAAAAGGCACGGTCTCCATCATGGCTGGAAATTCCTGTTAACTGAGATTGGAGCACGGAGGGAGGGCTTGCCAAGGCCCATGCCATCTGCTATTAATCTCATCATTAGGACCCTCAGCTTCCAAGGCCCTGGAGAATCATAGTGTGTGGTAGCATCTCTAGCTTTGGCTCCTCTAACTCAGGACTTGTAGCCATTATAAAATCCCTCCGCACACCTCAGGATCCTCTATTAACAGAGGCTTGAGGGCAAAGGTGTTGCACTCATGAGGACTCAATAGGCATCTGAGTTTCAAAGAAGCCCCTTTTTCTTGTGTCCCTTTCTCATCTCCAGGTCAAGTAAATGACTGAGACTTGGTTTCTCTCTGCTCAGAGTGCACACTGGGTCAGAGACAGAATAAAAGCACGGTGGGCACCACCATAAGTCCCACACTGAAGGGAAAATGATAAATAAACGAGACTTCATTATTCTCGTGTAAAAAATGGGATTGGAAACTTCCTTGTTATGATCCTGAAACTAATATGAGGGTAGACTAGAGAACTGAGTGTGAGGCCTTTTCAAAAAAGTGAAAAACCACAAACATCATTATTTGATTCATTAAAGACCTGGTTTACTTTTTGGATCGCAGTTCCCCAAACTCCTTCCTGGGTGGCTAATTTCTGAGGTCCCTGGAGAGTGACTCCTCAGTGGATGGGGCCCCATGGCAGGATGATCTCATCTCCTTTTGACTCCTTTTCTTATATATGACCCTGCCTTGATCTCTGGGACTAGGGCCTGCACAGTGCCTCCCCCTCTCCTTTCTCTTCCAGAGAAGTCTTGCTCACCTCAGCACATCCAGCAGGTGAGTAAATTCTCCTGGGAGCTCCCTTCTGCTCCTTGAGAAGTCACTTGATCTGCTACCAAATGAGGAAGACCTCTTATTTCAGAGGATTCAGTAGGGAAAGTCTGGTTCAGGTAATATATCATATGAAAGGAAGAGCTACGGTGACCTTGGCCAGGGCCCTTCTGTCATCTGGGCGAATTCCCTGGGTGAAACCTGCTAATGGTTGCTAATGGCAAATGAGCACATTCAGAGAATCCAGCCTTTCTGCCTGGACCAGTATCTCAAGGAGCCATCTTGATTCATCTGAGGGCCTGAGACTTTATTATCAGACCCATAGGGTTTGGTTAGAACATCAGAAATATGTTAAGGCTCAATTAAGAAAGTCTGTGTCTCAGACTGGATGCATGAGAATACACAGCTTCTGGCTCATCCAACAGTCTTTCCAAGCCCCTACAGTCCAGTTCAATGCTCCCTTGCTGAAATCATGTTGGTCTTGTGGCTTTAGTTCCTAAGTTCATCCTGCATTTGTTTTGGAAATATGGGAAGCCCAGTGCATATAAACTATAATGTCAGGCATTGGAAATGTAAAGCTAAACCAGATGGAGCTCTTCCCACAAGCCACAGTGGAGTGCAGCTGTGCCCTGCGGAGCAGTGGCGTAGAAGTGGATAGCAGAGACTCGGGAAGGGCACAGGTAGGGTCGGGAGGTAGGATTGAACTAGGTTGAGCAGATAGAGCTGGGGGAACCAGGATGACCCCCATTGGGCAAGTGTATTTTCATTCAGGCAAAGAAGTTTAGAGCTTGGAATAAGAAATCATTCTAGGCAAAACAGTCAGAGAAGGCTGTGGAGAAAGGAGATTCAAGAGCACAACACCTTTACAGCTTAACTTGTATTGGAGAGAGGGAGCCGGAGGACTTTATTCTTTGGTTATTTGACATGCCTTGTGGATGTCTTTTTCCAATGAATCTGTCGATTCTTATGACACTTACTGAATTAGTTCTAGGTCTATGCTTAGGACCTACAGGATGACACAATGAATGTGACCATTGACTAAGGGGGTTACCAAACTGAATGTCCCCCACCTAACTCACACACAGAGCAGCTAGTCACTATATTGTGGGCATTTGAGATTTTGATTGATACTCTGCCAACTATCCCTGAGTGCCTGTATTTGCTGCTGCTCTGCCTAAGTTGCATACAGAAAATTAACTGTGGAGGCAGGGGATGTCTTCAGTATTTAGAGGATCAACTGTTGGCTGGTAGAGAAGAGGTGGTCAGAGGGTCTGCTGCATCAGTGGGGTAGAATCGGACCTGCCCCAGAGAGAACTGAAGAAGAAGTGGGATGTCAGCAAGGAAAACCTCTACTTAGAGATAGCACTAAAGCATGTATAAACAGACATCGTACCAACAGCCATCATTTGTCTTCACAAAAGAAACGGGACATGTTTAGCTATATGCCATTAAGATTGCTCTCTGTGGGACAGCAAGATGGCTCAGCACACAAAGACACTTGCTGCCATGCTCAGTGACCTGAGTTCAATTCCCAGGACTAACATGGTTGAATAGGTGAACGAGAACTGACTCCCCTGACCTATGTACATAACACAAAAACACATGAGCCATGGCACACATGTATATACACATGAATGTTCATCATTACAAATAACTAAATATTTTTTCAAAATTTAAGCATTTAGTTTTTTTTTTTTTAAACCATTGCCAAAGTCATTTGTATTGAGATGAGCATGCAATTATGCACCAGAAAAGTTTCATGACTGATTTGGTCCCATGGCCTCCTTGCATCACGGTTCACCAGCTTTAGCAACATTAGAACAGCTTTGCTGGAGTAGGACATGGGGACCAGAACTCAGGGAGTTTCACCTGTTGCTGGTGTCTCTCCTGAACGCACGAGGCAACTCACATTTCATCACCTTCCATCCCCAACACCCTCAGAAGAACATCCCCAAAGTGCCTAGTTAGCTTTCTAACAGTGAGTCTCTGTTCCTGTTGCATGAGCAGCGGGATGTTTCATGCTTTCTGGAGCTTTTTAGTCATGGTATGACCGACATGGGCCGCCGAGAAGGGAGTCTGTCTCACAACCTTGTTGGCTGTGTGTCTTCTTTTAAGAACTGCCTATTCAGACTGTTTCCAGGTTTGGTTTTATTTGGTATAGTCTTTATTTAGACCCACCTTTGCCAGTTCTTAGCTACACTTGTAATTGGCCTATGTTTATGAATCAGCTGATAGTCCTTAACCTAAAATCTGTACTTACAGGCATAACTCCTAAAGAGAAATAAAGCAAAAAACTAGATGACTTGGGTGTTTGCTATCGAGTTGTTGACTTTCTTGTGTTCTGTTTCTTTTGCTATGTTGAAGCTTCTGATTTTAATATAATCCCACTTGTCTATTTTACTTTTGATGAATATGATTAAAGGACCGTATATAAAACCACCTTGCCAACATTGCTGTCTTGAAGTGTTTCCCCTATTGTCTTATAGCAATTTCCTATATTTTCTTTGGGTCTTTTGGTACATTTTAAAAAGATCATTTACATATATGGTGAGGAAAAGGGATTCAGTTTCATTATTCTGCATGTATGTAATGCCTAGATTTAAGATGTTCCTCTTGGGCACCTGGCTAGAAGGACCGCTCTTTAGCGGCCGGACCAGCAGACATATTGCTGGGTTCCTCGTACAAATCTTTCCTCTGACAGCCTCATAGCAATCACACAAAAGCACACCTAGAAAGAATAAGTTTTCCAGTTAGAAAACCAGGCATTTTATAAATATGGGGTTTGGCACATGGCTCGGTCAGTCTAGGGCTTGCTAAATACACATGGGGGCCTGAGGTTGATTCCCAGCATCCAAGTAAAAATCGCCATGTGTGGTGCCAAGAACCTGTCAAAGAACACACAACAACAACAGCACCAATAATAAGACCAAAATTTAAGTGAGTGTATCAAAGCTAATTTTAATGGAGACATAGATGATTAAAAATTAAATTTGCATGGGTATGGCTCCCAGTAGGCAGACCACCCCCTAGCAGAGGCCACACATCCAGGAGTGTATGGGTGGCCCAAATTGTACTAGATAGCTTAAAAAAAGCAGAGGACATGAAGCTGGGTAGGGAAGGGGCACAGATCTGGGAGGAGTGGGAGTAGGGGTGAATATAATCAAAACACATTATATGACATCTTCAAAGAGTTATAAAGATGAGAAAACAAATACATTTGCAATTGAAAAAACAAAAAATTCACAAAAAATAAAGTCAAAGAAAGGCATTTGCTTGCTAAATAGAAGGTAAACGTTCTAAAAATACTTATCTAAAAATTCTTGATTTATGTGTAGCTCCTCTCCCTGCCTCTCCTTCTCCCATTGTCTCTCCTCTCACTGTGTTGCCTGGTTGGCCTTCAACTTGAATCAACCTCCTTCATGTATCATGACTGACTTTGATTACCTTTCCTACTTTACTAATTTTCTCATAATTCTGAGTTTCCCATGTTTTTGTCCCTCTTGAGTTTTACTTAGACAGTTTCACAGTAGGCAATTTTGGCTTTGTTTTATTTTTCATTANTATATATCACATCTTCTCTATCCATTAACGACTTCTCATGGTGTGTAGAGAAATGTCTGAAGTAATGGTACCATCAGGCAATGAAAAGGTTAGGTTTTGAGGTAAAAGTCAAGAACTGGAGATAATAAGTTAAGGTTTGGCCAGAGGAGAGAAAACAGCTGTTTTTGTTAGGGTTTTTATTTCTGTGAAGAGACATCATGACCATGACAACTCTTATAAAATAAAACAATTAATTGAGGTGACACCTTGCAGCTTTAGAGGCTTAGTCCATTAACATATGGTGGAGAGCGTGGTACTGGCTACATCTTGATTGGAAGACAACGACAACGGGAAGTAGCTGTGGCACCAAGCAAAGTTTAAGCAAAAGAGACATCCACACCCACCCCCACAGTTACACACTTTCTCCAACAAGGCCATACCCACCCTGGCAAAGTCACACCTCCCAATAGTGCCACTCCCTATGAGCTTATGGGGGCCAATTACATTCAAGCTACCACACTACCGCTGGGACACACATAAACTTACCTTCAGGCATAGCATATGAAAACGTACCAGTGCATTTTTATTAACTAATTATAGTAAAGATGGATCATTTCTACTCTGAAATGTCTTATCACAGGAATTCATGGAGTCCAAATCTGAGAGCAATGGAACAGCAGTTACTGAGTTCATTCTTCTGGGCTTGGTAGAGTCAACAGGGCTGCAGCCAGCCATCTTTGTGATCTTCTTCTTTGCCTACCTGCTCACAGTTGGGGGCAACCTAAGCATCCTGGCAGCTGTCTTGGTGGAACCCAAACTCCACACTCCCATGTACTTCTTCCTGGGGAATCTGTCCATGCTGGATGTGGGGTGCATCAGCATCACTGTTCCCTCAATGTTGGGTCGTCTCTTGACCCACAAGCGTTCAGTTCCTTATGGAGCCTGCCTCACACAGCTCTTCTTCTTCCATCTGCTGGCTGGCGTTGACTGCTTCCTCTTGACAGCCATGGCTTATGACCGGTTCCTGGCCATCTGCCGACCCCTCACCTACAGCACCCGCATGAACCACACAGTCCAGAGGATCTTGGTGGCCACATCCTGGGCTTGTGCCTTCAGCAATGCACTGACACACACTGTGGCCATATCCACACTCAACTTCTGTGGCCCCAAAGTGATCAATCACTTCTACTGTGACCTGCCCCAGCTCTTCCAGCTCTCCTGCTCCAGCACCCAGCTCAATGAGCTGCTGCTCTTTGGTCTGGGGGTCCTCATGGCGGGTGCACCTGTGATTCTCATCGTCACCTCCTACATCCATGTGGCAGCTGCAGTTTTGAGAATCCGATCTTCTGAGGGCAGGAAGAAAGCCTTCTCCACATGTGGCTCCCACCTCACTGTGGTGGGCATCTTCTACGGGACAGGTGTCTTCAGCTACATGAGGCTGGGTTCAGTGGAGGCTTCAGACAAGGACAAGGGCATTGGCATCCTCAACACTGTCGTCAGTCCCATGCTGAACCCACTCATCTACAGCCTCAGGAACCCTGATGTGCAGGCTGCCCTGAGAAGGGTCCTGACAGGAAAGTGAGACGTGGCATGAGGCTGAGCAGGAGGGAGGAAAACACAGCATAAACTGGGCATGGCTGTGCGTGCCTGTAATCCTAGCACGTGAGGATGGAGGCAGTGGGATGCGAAATTCAGACAGCAACTCTGGGGGCAGCCTATGCTGCACGGTGACCTGTTTCAAGGGGAAGTAAAAAAAAAAAACAACATCCATACAAGATTTTTTCCTTAGAGATTTGTTTTATTTTCCCAAAAGTATTTCTTTAAGTTATGATAAATACAAATTTGGAGCTGAATGAAATAAAAGTTGCGATTTAGATGCATATTTTCTCACGTTCTACATAAAATTTACACTATTTTATTATTACAATGGTAAACGAAACTATTCTTTCCAAATATTTGGTAGCAGTTATAAATAAAGTCTTCTAATGTATAACTGTAAATAGTTAAAAATCATTATTGTGTTAAAAATTGCTGTCTTGAGATGCAGTTTTTGGAGGTTCACCTACGTTTGATTATATTCAAGTAAGTATTTTTCATGATATGACTCAAATAGCGATTCCTTCCCAATTCATCTGTAGAATCCCTGACGCCACCACCCACGATGTGAATTATTTGGAGACACGGTGATTAGAAAGTAAATGTGCTCCCACGGGTGTGGGTGACCCCACCTCAGGCACTTTGATTAGACACAGTGGGATATTTCTCTAAAAGGAAAAGAAGACAAGTAACTGAAAAGCAGATGTGCTGGGGCAGGACTCCAGGGGGAATCCCACAGGGGTGATGGAAGTAGACATGATTAAAATAATTGTGGATATGTATGAAACTCTCAACAGTTTAAAAAATTCTTTCTTTCTTTCCTTCCTTCCTTCCTTCCTTCCTTCCTTCCTTCCTTCCTTCCTTCCTTCCTTCCTTCTTTCTTTCTTCCTTTCTCTTTTTTCCATTAAAAAATTTACACTTCCTCACCTCCTCCCATTCTCCTCCTGCTCCCCCACTCACCTTCCTCCCTCCCCCTCCCTCTTTAAGAGAGGGCAGGAAACCCTGCCCTGTGGGAAGTCCAAGGCCCTCCTCCCTACAGGCAGGCCTAGGAAGTTTTGCATCTAAATAGACTAGGGTCCCCAAAAGCCAGTACATGCAGTAGAAACAAGTCCCAGTGCCTTTATCAATGGCTTCTCAATCAGCCCCCATTGTCAGTCACATTCAGAGTCCTGTTTGATGGCATGCTCATTCAGTCCGGTCCAGCTGGATTTGGTGAGCTCCCATTAGAACAGGCACACTGTCTCAGTGGGTGGATCAACCCCTCATGGTCCTGACTTCCTTGCTCATCTTCTCCCTCCTTCTGCTCTTCAACTGGATCTTGGGAGCTCAGTCCGTTGCTCTGATGAGGGTCTTTGTTTCTATCTCCATCCATAGCCGGATGAAGATCTGTAAGACACAGTAAAAATACTTAGTTTATAAAGTATATGCATAAAGAAGGAGACACTTAGGTACCAAAGACACAGAAAATATTTCCAATAAAAGAAAAAAATTTCAAATCTAGGGCAAGAGATGCCATCTAGGTACAAGAGACACAAATAATGCCAAACAGGGCCAGAGGAGAAACTCACCACATCATGTTATAGTCAAACGCTAAGTATTTAGAAGGAAGACAATGGAGTGACAAACACATGGGCTAAGTCATATGCAAAGTTGGCCCATTAGAATAGCAAATCAATGGAATAGTCTTCAGTGGAGACTTTAGAGCCCAGAAGGGGCAGAAGGTTGTATTTTTGGTTCTGAAAGAGTAAAACTGCCGGATTAGGCTACTACATCCAGCCATTCTATCTGTCATTGCAAGGGATGAGGTTGTCTAAGTGACCTCCATGGCCATTAGAGTAACAATCTGTGGGAGAGGCAAGAAGACATCTCAATTCAGCATGACTTATTAGCTGGTGGGTGTTGATTCAAACTTCAGAAATCTGACCCCAAGCAATTTATTTTAGGCATATTTCATCACAGCACAATTTGGCAAAAACTTTTCTGGTGGTAATTAATTCATTCCTGTGTCCTCAATAAAGCATACATAAATCTCCTTGGATCACAGATTGTTATTACAAGGATTAGGATGTCTTGGGATCATCTCCTGTTTATCCTACATAGGCACCAATAATATCACAAAAATCAAAACTACCAATAGTATTCAAAGGTGCTATGCAAGCTGCCAATGGAGAAAGGCAATTAAAAGTCTTACCCAGCTGCCAAGCTTATGAACCCCAACAATGGGCAGAATGGCAAGATATACCCAAGAGTACAATAGTGGCACTTATATCTTGGAGGTAACCAACAACTGTATAATTGTATTTAAGATCCACTTAGTAGGAGGGAATTTGTGCCTTGTACTATGACCTAGTCAACTACTAATGCCTGGTGAGGTCATAGACTCTAAAGGAGAGTCTCCTACTGCCTGATTCCTAAGCCAGTAGAACTACCAGCTGTATTCGACATTCTTATTCTTATATATACACGTGCCTTTAGTTTTCAAGCCTCATCAAAGTAGCTTCTCTTTGCAGCAGTCAGAGACCATCACAGAAATCCACAGATGGTCACATGCAGAGAACGAATGACCGTAGGGTGCCAATCTCCAACTGATTCAACTAGAATCCAACTCCTACATCTAAGGTGCAGGGAACTTCAAGGAAGAGGGTTAGAAAGACTGTGAGGGCTGGGCTGCTGGCTGTGAGGTGACATCCCAACATGATGGAGAGAAATTCCACAAGGCCCTAAACCTAGACAAAGAGCTACAGGCAATTAACGGCTGCTAAGAGAGAGGGGAAAGTCAGTCTTCCACAGGGATGTAACTGATTGTCCAGTCCCAAGTGGTCAGCCCTAAACATACACATATACAAGCAACATTAAATGGGATCAGTAGGTTATGCACACATACACACACACACACACACATTTAAAAAGAAGTCATGAATCTGAGAAGGAATGGAAGGGCATAAGGGGAGTTTAAGGAGGGGAAGTTGCAGTGGGAATGATGTAAACATAGTACTCATGTATGAAATTCTAAAAAAAGTGTTAAATAAGATAAAAAGAAAGGTTAATGCTACACACAAAAATAGATCTAAAAATAATACACGGTGTGGCCAATGGGTCTTTAAGAAGGAGATAGAGAGGGTGCCCCATAGCATATCTGTTGAGACTATGTTCCTTAGAATGGTACAAATGCATATTTAACCCCCTAGTCATCAGATTCCTGTGTGGCTATAAGAAAATGACTGACTCACTTTGAAATTCAACTTATAATTCTGTAAAATGTGAGGGAGGGATACGGGTACATGACAGAATCACTGGAAAGATGACTGGAACCCAATCAACCCCATGTAAAGATCTTGGTATACTAATATAGCGAGTATGTGATGAATGATACCCATTGTTCTTAAGTTAGTGAAAGTATTGGCCACCCCCTAGGAGGAACTCTGCATAGATTGTTGGATTTTATTCTCACAGAAAACTTAAGAAAGAAAATCATGTGCATTTCACAGATAAGAAAGTTGAGGCCCAAGGGGGATAAGCAGTTGCTAAGAAATGGAGGACAAGTCTCTCCATTCCACAGAGTGTGCACTACCTCTGGGGTTTGGGCAGCCCAGTTGTTGAGAGGGCTAAAGAGTTTGAATGCCACTTTGCACAGCTGCTCCAATTCCCTCTTCCATCATCTGTATCACTAAGGCTCCCAGCATGAAGGGCCCGGCCTGAAAACCACACTAGGGAACAACTTTGGCTCCCCCATCCCCACACTTCCTGTTTTCCCCAGCGCAGCAGTGTTTCCAAGGTCTCTCCCAGGATCATTACAGGAATCCCAAGACACAGTCCCTCTGGCCCTCACTAACAAGGTTCTAGGTTGGAACACATTTTATCCTTGAGGATTTGGTTTGGTTGCCATGGGCGTCTTCTGATTCGTCTCCTTTCTTAGCTTTTCCCTTCATCCCCAGACCCAAAGAACTTTCTCTCCTTGTCCACAAGATAGAAGTCATTCCTGCACAGTCCTCAAATCCTGTTTGTAGCAGGCATGTAAAGCAGCTGTTTTCTTAGCCTAAAGACCCCATTCAGTCCTAGCTCCACCTCTAATTCCCCGAGAGACTTTGGGACAGCAGACAGCTCTTTATGCCCTCCTGCTATCTCTCCTCTGTGTGCTGCAGACAAAGTGAAGGTGAGAACAAAGACAGGAAAAATTCTGGGTCCCCATTGCCTCACCACGGTGATGTTTATTAGGGCTTGGATCTTTGACCTGGCCTTGCCTATATGCACACCTTTCTCCCATTTCTTGGGACTAATTTTGAGGTCCCAAGGGGCTGACACTATGATGGAAAATCCCCAGGACAGAGATGCTTCAACCTCTCTTTGTCTTGTTTCTCTCCCTCTCCCTCTCTCTCTTTATATATATAGCTCCTTATTTCTTTCACTGAAGCTGAGTGAGTTTGTGTGTTTCACATCCTTTCCCACAGAACCAGATTGGATTTTGCACCATCAACAGGTGAGTTTTAATGGCCCTTCCTCTGCCCTTAAGTCACCTGAAGGGAACTTCAGCTGTTTCTCAGCAAGTTGACCTTCCTGGCTTTACAGATCAGTCTCTCAAAATCAGAAAGGAGACTTGCTCCAGATGACAAGTCTTCCACAAATGAGTGTTAAGAGCTGGTTCAGTGTCGGCGATGGTCCTCACCAGTGATGGTCCTCTCAAGATCCTACCCACCACAGACATCTGGATGGTAGTGTTGTGTGACTGCAAGCATGCTTGGTCTCTTCTTGGCTGAGGTCAAGGAAGCAGCTAGTGTTCTGTGCCATGGCATGACTGGGTTTTCTTTTTTACCGAATAACTGTTCTGACTATGAAAATGATTTCTAAAGTTTATATTAAAAGATATTTCTGATCATTATCCCACCTGCAGGAAAACCTGTGCTTCTCACTCAACTCTGTCCATCCTCCTTTCAAAATTCCTCAAAGTCTAGCTTGTCCACATTCATATTTGTGATAATTCTTAAAAATATCTTTTGATAATTCTTGCTAGCTACTGATGCTCCTTTTTTTTTTTTTTTTTTTTTTTTTGTCAACCAGTGCATCCATCCACTTATTTGTGAAGTGGTGCATAGATATAGTGGATCTATGCATTATAGGGAGAAATAAGATATAGATTCTACCCTTGAG